CCATTGCATGAAACCTGCACATTCCCTATTCCAGGATCGTTTCAAATATTTTGGAGGGTATGCAAAGGAACCCTCATGTTGAACAATTTTCAGTCCTAGCCGTGGACAAGCTGGTTCTGAAGCGTTTCTGAAGCGTTTGGTGCATTGACGGCCTAAGCTAGGGTTTTGTCCGATTCGCATTAATGAGAGCTGTCAAAGGATGTACAGGACGGTTACTGAGCATTTGTGGCCTCAAGAGGTGTGCACTAAACCGGGGCATTCTTCAAATTCAGAGGAGCTCACCTCCCTTCTAGACAGACAATCGGCTGCCAGCTAAGGTCAATCCTCTACGAGCGCAGCCCCGATCTGCAGGATCAGGAGTGGATGGCAGAACCGGCAGGGTATAACAGACTGTGAGATGAAATAGTCAGGGCCCACCGGTCAGAAACTTATTGCCCTCCCCAAGTCAACTACTATCGCTGCGGGATATCATTCGTCAACATTGCGGTAATTTCGCTCTTTCTGCATCTGCTAGTCAGCAGCTGGCAAACTTTTCAGGATGCTGCCATGGGCCAGTCTCGGAGAGGCGCCTCTCTTTGACTTGAGCCGTTCACGGAGGTCACAAAGAGGGCTATCATTGCGGACCCATTATTCTGCATAAGGGTCATTCGAGACCTGCGTAGGATACTGCCAGCCCTTTGTAGTCAAGTCCCTTTTGGGCAGTGAAGGAAGCTGATGCTTGTTTTCCGCATGCTGCTCCAGGTTGGTATCCGACGCTCCCGAGAACGCTCTCCATCCTGGCCCCGGCCATAAACAGTTCAAAATAAGTACGAGCACTTGTTGCGACGCGTTGCTTGGAGTCCTGTGATCCCAGGCCAAGATCTACAGAGTGCTGGAGATGTCCACCTTCCAAGGGTGCCTCTCCTTAAAAAGTCACCGAGTCACCGTTTGAGCCTCCAAAACAAAAGCGGCCTCTAAGGCTGGCGCAAGAGGCAGTGGACCTCTGCATGCGCAGCCTGAAAGAGGCCGGAGCCTGAACTTCAAAGTCTCGTTGTTGCTGAGATTTGTTGGGTTCTACTGCCAACATCTTGCTTTCTTTTCACTGCTTGAGTGTCTCACTGCGTGATAAATTCCAGCATGCAAGCAGTTTTTACAACTGCAAAGACTTGAGTTCCCACACCTGCGCTCTTGTCATAGTAAGGGCACGCCCGTGACAATACTCGACAAACCAGCACTGTCCCTCACAAGCCGCGATGCAGTCGCCCTGGTAAACGGAAATTGCCTTCAAGGCATCCCCAAGCGTTATGGCGCCATGTGTGCCCAAGGGAAGCTAGAACAGGCTCGAGTTCGTGGGGAGAAGCATTAGAATAGCACAGGGCCTTGACCATATCCCCAACAAAATGAGCAACCTGAAGTATGCATGACTTCAGGGGTCTTGGCAGCCAGCTGTTTCACGAGCTCAACCGGATACCCATCCTGCCCTCCATCCTGCATTCAAACAAGCTCAGGTCGAAGGCCGGCCCCAAAAGGGACACGGACCGTAATTTCTGGCACACGGTTTCCAAGCACGACTGCCGTCGTTGATTCTGGGTCAGAGCCTTGATAGGCGCACAAACGAGCCTTACTATACCAAAGATGCTTATGAAGCCTGAAAGTGGAATGGAATTGCGTCAGGCATACCTGGCATTCGGTTCTTTCAGCATGGCCAACCACCCAAAGCTAGATGATGCACTTGGCACGATGACTGCCCCATGCCCCTCATGAGACGAACACAACTTGCCACATGCATTGCCAATTGCAACAGAAACTACCAGTGTCGCCTCAATTCTGAGCGGAGCACGTCAAAGCATTTCGCAACTGAACTCTTCTCGACTAGCGAGCTCGGCCTTTCAAGCTACAAAGTATGTCCGCTAAAGACTCAGATGCCTGCTGGAATTCTTGCAAGTGATGGCTACCGGCAGTCTGGTTAAGCATGCGCAAGTCAAGCCACACAAACAGTGCCCACCATGCGTCACAAGCCCAAGCTGCGGTGAGGGCACGCATCTTTCAACTGCCAACCGCTCATGGGGACAAAGGATCTGCAAAACATCACACACTTCATTGTCAGTCAAGCCAAGCGTAGACACATCAAGCAGTGGTTTGCAGGCACGGCGCCAGTGATACATGAACCCAGTCCGGAATTGCTGGAGTTCTTTGCGATTATCCACGAATCATCCTGAGGCTTCCGAGTATCTTTCCAGAAGATCGCTTCCCAGCTGCGATGCCAGCCTACAGGCGAGGAGATGCAGGAAGTTTCTTGCCTACATCCCCATATCCACAGCCTGTGCTCCCAGGCGTTCCAGCCTTTGGTTCAAATGATGGACTCGCAGCTTTTCCTGGTGAAGCACCTCCTGTGCTCGCGCTCAGAGCACTCTCGATAGTTTCGCAGGCCAAGACAATGTTCACAGGAAACACTGCTGACCCTAAGGTTGCAAGCTTTTTCTTTTTTTGCTTTGGAGGATGCTGCAGTTGTTTGACATCGCTTTCGATATCCTGGTGCAACTGTAATGGCTGGCAACGGATGGGCTCAGATGGCTAAGGCTCCTTCGAGAGCAGGTGTCGGCCTTCGAGTGCGAGCTGGCGGGCGCCCCAGCATCGGCATCTCAAATTTCACAGTGGCTGACATCTGTACATGCGCGTGGAGGTTTTTCAGAACAGTCTCTATGTACTCCACGAGAAGGAGCCCCAACAACCCTTCCAGTAATCCAAGCTACCAGTATCCCCAGATGCGCTAAGCTTTCCTTGAGTAATTTGCACTGGGTTTATTGAGCCGCTTTGAGGTGGTCAGCGAGAAGTATTTCAACTTTGCGAACGTCTGGGAGGCACTGATGCCCTTGGCAATTTGAGCAGGGCGGCCTGCATGTTGCTTTGGTTGAGGTACTACTAATCTCAGTTCTGCAGATTCTTGAGGGTTGGCATTTAGCCCGTAGTGCCCGCGGAAAGAAGCAGCAACAAAGATGGCCTGAAATATTCCATGCCTTCTTGCTTGCCATTGTTTAGAACTGTCTTGATCAGAAATGAAGGGCCCATAGCTGCTGCTATGGAAGGCTCTTAACCTGAAGCTGCCGGATGGGATCCTCGGCATCTTGAAGCCAACGGTCTATCACGCCGAGGCCAGCCATTAAGGAGAGCGCATCAACGAAGAGTACGCCGAAGCCTTTGCTTAGCCTAGCTCCCCCAGACTGCAAACCCAGGTCGACAGCAAGAAGGATATCGAGTCAGAACTGAAGGCAGATGCAAGCCCTTTACCTCCCAGACAGGTTCGTTCAACAAAGCCTGGCTGGCAGGCGGCTTGCGAAGCGCTGATCACCAACATCACGGCCAGCGCCCCACGTTCCCGCTGGTCGCTTGTCTGGTGAAAATTCCATCTTCTCAAGCAGGCCCACATTACGCAGCCTCTCGCCGTCCCCTACCCGGCATCTGAAAGCGGGGGCCGACAGGATGCTCCGCATCCTACGCCGTTGACAGGCTGTGAACACCAAGATTGGCAATTTCTTGGCAACCTCCGGCGTGCATTGGTATCGATTCGTGAAAAACACTGCCTTTCTCCCTGTGAGGGATTTGTTGAAGCGTTTTTTGAGCTCAGGGCGAGCGGTCGTCGTTGAAGGAGCACCTGCAGGGCGCCTGCAGAGCACATGCAGAGCGCACAGAGAGCGCGCAGAACGTTGGCCTTAACAGCTTCTCTATTCAGAGGACCAGAGCTTCATGCAGTCGGAAGAGCTCCGAGACGTGATTAGTGCAATCCCCAGTTGCAGTTGACCTGTCAACCCACCTCAGCTGTTAGCCATCTCGCGTTTAGGCGGCTTCCTTGCGAATGTGAAGGCCAAAGTGCCTTTCACAGCTGCGCAAGAGCCTCACTTGACTTGACAATTCCAGTGGCGGCCCGGTCTTGAAGCCAATCCTGCAAGTTAATGTTGCCATATGGTGCCTCTGCCAGGAGTGACTGCTGTTCAGCTGCGTACCAAGGCACATTAGGCTCTACCTCGCTATGCCTCCTGGAGGCGCTCGAAACGAATACCTTGGCCTTTGGGTCCTGTCTCCAAAGTTAGAAGTCGACCAATGCAGTGCAGGCCAGGACGAGCTGTCCGAAGCTTCCAGGTCGTTGCGCCTCCTTGTTCTCTTCCTTGGGAATGAGATGGGAACGAGTAGCTGACATGCGTGAAGCTCTTGATCAGGAGTGCAAACACCTCGTGGGCACCTCAGTGCTCGTCAGCCCTTTGCCATATCAAACTGTACCTGCCAAGCCGCGTCCAAACGAAAAAAGCATAGCTGATTTAGACAGTCAGGAAAGTGTCATTCTAGACATTGGGGTGGTCACCCATGGTGCCCCCATGAATCCCTGTAGTTCTTGCTGGAAGTATGTATCTCCTGAAAACGCGGAGGCCCATCCTTTGGAAGCCAGTGGAGATGCGACTGGTTGATACCTGGGGTCGCCTGGAGGGTCTCCTGGAGGACCTCCTGCCCCCAATCCATTCACGTTGCATAAGTGCCTGCACGTTCTGAAGATTACGGAGTATTGCCCATGTCATCACCCATCCGGAACGTCAGGGTCTCAATCTGGGAGTTCCAAACAGTTGGCGGTTCCCACGTTTGTAGTCGAGGTGTTAAGCAATTCTTGGTTGTTTTGTGTTGGGGTAGGTGCCCGTATTGTAGAAAAATCTCTCCATCTCTTGAGAGCCCGAAGTCTTTGAAAACCCTAAACCTTCAACCCTAACACACCCCACCACACACCTTGAACCCAAACCAGGAGCAGGCTGCTGACTTGGAAGCGCCTGGGAGCCCAGCACCAGTTCTTCCAAAGAACCCGTCCTCGGCATCGTAATCACCTCCGACTAATAACAACCCTCCCGCTGCTAATGATAAAGGTCTTCAATTCTGTGTCATTACGTTATTGGGATATTCGAGGAATTTGGATTCAACACTGGTAAAAAGGCAGGCTCCGGCGGCGTTGCATTCTCTGGAAAGTGGGGGTTTTATTGTCAGGGGAGGGGATGAGCATCATCCTATTGCTTCTGGAAATCTGCTGTTGGTATTACAACGGGTGCTGTTGACATTCAACTTGTTCTGATTGTTGATAGGTCTCTTGTTCCAAAAGCAATCCCAAAGCCACCCGCCCCATTTGCCGGAAGGCTAGGCTTCATCCGACCTGAGGCACTTCGAGAGCGGGGGGGCTCAGTTGGGGTTTGGTGGTGCGGTCGCCATATTCATAAGGACAGGAGGATCCTTTGCTCTGCCCAGCGGGAGCCTCTTTCATTCATGAGTGGAAGAGCTGGTTTCCCAGCCGGCGCTGAACCTATGCGTGATTTCTGTTACTGCTGTTGCTTTGGATTATGACTGTTATGACTTATGACCATTGCTATCACCCTTGTGTTTCGGAATCGCTATGAGCCAACACGACTCCTGAGAGGTTGATTTCGTCGCTCTTCAACTCAGCCAAGCGCTCAGAGCTGCAGCGGCAAAAGGAAGTTTAAGCACCGAGAAAGTCAAAAATCTAATCATTCCTTTCGTTCTTGCAGGCCCCTTTGCAGTTGGTGGAAACATGGCTGTGTCTTTTTTCCTGAGGTGATGGAGCAGCCTTGGGAGAGCATAGTTCAGATGGTGTCGCAGGCCAGCTGGCACTGAGCGTGGTCATCGGTGTAGGTGGTGGCCATTCGTGGGGCCTCAAGTTGGACAACCATCTCGATGTTTGCAGGTCCCCCGGCGAGACTTCAGCCCGCCTCGCACGCAGACAGCGCAGGCCTTGCCTGCCGACGGACATGCAACAGCATTGCCGCCTGTTCCTGCGCCGGAACTGCGGGAAGCGTCTCCTCCACCGCAGCCCTTGGACTCGGAGGGTGCGAAAGCGGAAGATGTGGCTGCACCCGCCCTTGCTGAGCACCTTGAGCACCTTGAGCACTCTGCAAAGAGCCCTGCAGAGCATGCGCCAGAAGGAGGTCTCACCGGGCCAAGGATAATCTGAGCCATCGCAGCTTGAGTATGTGGGATTGAGATCATGTGTTGTGCATCTCTGCAAATTCGGGGGTGTGATGGCTGCAGAATCCTGTTAACGAAGACGACCACTGTGTCGCGCAGATCAGTTGCTTCAGAAAGGGAGTGAATGCAAATTGCCCATGTGCCCGATTTTTGACTTGAGGAATTCTTCGGTCTCAGCTGAGTTGGGCTTGTGAGAAGCGATCATGGAGTCTTGCTGTGCGCTCCCGGGCTCGAAAGGATTCAGTAAGACTCCTGATTCGTTTGACTTCCGGAGGCACCTGGCCTGCACTAAAGGCATTCCATGACACAAGTAATTTATTGACTTCTTGTCCGCTTGCACTTGAGGTCGTTTAAGTGTAGGGGCAGGAAAAGCAGCACAGCAGAATGTTCATCGCAGTATTCGTCGCTTGCCGTGCTGTCACTGTCACAGACTGTCTTTGTCTTGCCAAGGAGAATCAGCTTACAAGCTGGCAAAGGTTTCCAACCATGGAAAACTTGCCTCGGCGACTTGGCCCGAGCTACAGTGGGTTGACCTTCTCGCAATGAGCTTTCCCTACTGAGGGCCGAGCCGGTTGCCATCTTGGCGTTTGGCCTGAGATGCCCACGGAGTGGAAGCGCAGACGATTTGTGCTGGGCTCGGATGGGGGATTTGAAAGAGTTGATACGTAGGGTATGGCTCAATGGTAACCTTTGCTCCTTGGTAGCCTACTTTGCCAACGCAGACGCATGTGAAATGTCAGGCCAGCTTACATGCCAATCATTTTTGTTTGGAAGTTCAGCTTCGGACCAGCGGTAAATCAAAAGTTCGCTAGTGTAGCCTGGGTCTTGGCAGCTCAAGGGCCCTATGTTTACCTCTGTAGCAGCATGCTCAGCCTGTTTTTGTAAGGTGGCAGAATCTCAAAGCAGAGCAGGACTTGACAAGCGAGATAGAGGAAAGTCGATTCGACAAGACGTTCTACCACAGCATCGACCCCTCCATGCCTCCTGGCACACTCTACACTTTGCGTGGAGGTTGGCTCGATCACAGGACCATCTTTGGCTTTGACTGCAGCTTCTTCCACATGTCTTCTTTGGAAGCAGAAGCCATGGACCCTCAGGTACGATTGCTTCTGCTGACCGTCTCAGAAGCCTTTGCAGCAGGAGGCTTATTCTTCAAGGATCAGAGCACCTCCACTGCGTGCATTATTGGTCGCACGTCCCATGAGTACCTCCCGTACGCCACTCTGCATTCCGGTCAGACGAACACAGGGAAATTCACCAACACCGGAACCAACGCCTGCATGGCTGCCAATCGCCTTAGCTTCAACTTTGACTTCACGGGCAACTCGATGGTCATAGACACTGCGTGCTCATCCAGCTTGTGCCTCGGCAGACGGTTTTGTACGCAAGTTAGATGCCGTTGTTTTCAAACCGCTTGGATCAGGATGGCACTCGCTATATCTGTGGACGAGCTGCAGCAGAAAAGCTGTTCGAAAGCAGTATGTGGCGGAGCCAATTTGTGCCTTACCCCGATCACAACCATTGGATTCTGCCAAGGTGGTTTTCTAAGCAAGGAAGGAAGATGCAAGTCCTTTGATGAGGATGCCGATGGTTATGCGCGCGCTGAGGCCGCTGGGGTTGCAATCCTGTCTCGCATCAGTGATGCAGAGAAAGCACATAGGCAAGTCCTGGCTTGCATGAGGGACCGTGGTGCCAGGGTCAACAACGGCCGCAGCGGTGTGTCAATCGCAGCGCCAGCGTTTGATCAGTTGCAGTTGATGATCGCTGAAGCTCTGACTAGAGCTGGGATGAGCAAATTTGAGTTTGATTATGTGGAGTGTCATGGCACAGGTACTAAGGAAGGTGACGCAACTGAAGGAAATGCAGTTGCAAAAGTTTTGGGCGCTGCCACTGGGGGACGGAAAGATGGGCCGCTCCTGTTAGGCTCCATAAAGTCAAACATGGGGCACTCCGAAGGTGCCAGTGGAATAGTTGGCGTTTTCAATCTCGCGATGATGCTTCACCATCAAACCATTCTTCCGCTGTGCCCCGCGGCGCACAAGCAGAAGACTAGCCGTATCAACTGGGACGAAGCATGCATCCTGCCATCAACATGCTGCTACCAGAAGTGGCACAAACAGAGCTTGGCCGGAGGTGTGAGTCACTTGATTCAGCACTGGTGCTTGTCGGATTTCTATCATTCTCGTTGCAAAAATTCCTGAACGCACCCTGTACTTAGTTGGTGCACGCAAGGCGTGGCATTCTAACAAGTCTGTAACACTGTAAGATCCCTAGCGCCCTTCAATACAGATTTCTTGTGGAGCCCAGATCCTCATGACTCATGACTGCAGCATGACGAAGCGAGCTGGCATGTTACAGGTACTGTATCAGAATCTGATATAGGGATTAGGCATGTGTGGATCCTCATGGCAGTTTTCCACCTTGGTTCCGTGGAAGTCTCAGGCTCTTTCGGCTTCGGCGGAAGCAATGCCCACGTCATTTTGGAGAGCTACGCCCGAACAGAAGCAAGCCCTGCACAAACAGCATCAAGGCAGAAGCTTTTCCAGGAAGCTCACCTTCTGAAAGTCTCAGCCTGGTCTGAAGAGGCACTGCGAACGGCCTGCGGTCAGATTTCCCAAAATATTCTGACATCCCATTACAAGATTGAAGATGTGCTCTATTCCATCAATGAGCGTTCAACCTCATACCACTATCGCGCAGTTGTGGTGGCTGGCACCCTGCAGGACACTGCTGAAGCATTACGCTGTTTTGCGAATTCGATGAAGCCTCCTTCTTCGACATGCTTGGAAACAGGAATTGCCCTGCCTGGATCACCCCCGAAGCTTGTTTTTGTATTCTCCGGCATGGGAACGCAGATGCCAGAGATGCTGTACAAGCTGGCAGCAGATGCTTCCATGACCCAACTGATCAGCGACATTAGCAGTGGCCTCTGCAAACTTGGAGCGAAATACCAGCTGTCAAAGCTCTTGGAAGAGGGCGACACAGAGTCCATCTGTAAAAACACTGAGATTGCGCAGGTGGCCATTTTTACCCTCCAGCTTTGCTTGTCCCAATGGTTCAGGCAACTGGGAATCCGACCTCATGTTTGTGTTGGCCATTCTGTCGGAGAGGTAGCAGCCTTTTACGTCGCTGGTCGTCTAAGCTTTGAGGATGCTGTGCGGATAATTTATTTCAGGGCCTCTGTGCTGAAGGAGCACGCGCAGTCTGGTGAGATGATGGCTCTGATGATGGATGCTCAAAGTGCAGAGCAGGCTATCAGAGAAAGCAAGACCGCCTTGGAGATTGCAGCCTTGAACTCAGAAAAATCGGTTGTTGTCTCAGGAAGGAGTGAAGAAATCCGGAAGCTGGAGTCTTACCTGAGTGAGCAGGGCACTAGAACCCGGATCCTGGACAACGTAAGCGTCGGCTTCCATTCCAAGTGTGTGGATCCAGTACCTCTGCTGCTGAATGTCATTTGACAAATCCAGTTTTATCCGCAGCTTTCCCTCACCAAACTGCTGCAAAAAAAGCATGTCTGGCCCATTGCTGACTTAGGCACTGGAAACCTTGGAAGTCGATCTCGGCAATGTGGCCGGGAAAGATCCCGAGAAGGATGATCCCATCTTGGTCTCAACGGTGACTGGGAAGCCTGTGACAGGTCCTGTCGAGGCTGCTCAGTTGCATTGATCAGCTGTGGTTCAATGTGCAGTGGCTGCACCTGTCTCAGCACATGCACTTGGTCAACACCCCACATGTGGCATTCCATGCATTTCCATGAGGCCACGTACTGGCGTCAAAATGTTCGGCAGCCAGTGAACTTTCATTCAGCAATCACGGCCATTCTACAGATGGACCTTCGACCGTTACACTTCTTGGAGGTAGCGGGCATCCCTCACTTGAGCCGTCATATCGAGACCATTGTGCAGAAGCCTGACGCGCAGAACCCTGACGTGTGCTGCATCAGGAGCGCAGATGCACACCTCGAAGAATTGATGTTAAGGAGTCAGATTGAATTCGCTCAGAGGATCCAACAAGATGTCTTGAAGAGCAAAGCAGATGAGGTGTTCGGAAGCAAAGGGTTGCTTTGAGCGCATTAAGCTTGGGAGGCTTTAGCTTTCAAAGGACTGGTAGATGAGCTGATAAGCCCATCCTGCGCTGCTGCGATGCTTCGAGTCGAGTCATCCGCAGGCTGACAGGGGCCCTGGCTGCTTGTGGACGCCTTTGGACGCTGGGAAGTGACTTCGATTGGAAAAGTCTGAGACGTGCAGGCACCCGCAAGCTGTTGGGTTTCCTGTGATGAGTGTCTGGTATATGCCATGTGTGATGCAACAGTGCATTGCGAGACCTGTCTCCAGGCCAATTGCCGCAAGAAACTCCAGCAGAGCCACGTTACATAAGCTGCTTGGGGCCTATTCCATGGAAGTTTCAGAGTCTGGAGCTCCGTGGATCGATCTACCAAGACATGGTGGCCTGGCGTCATTCAGGCTCACAAGCAGCTGAATTTTTGATGTCCCTCGTAGCTGCTCCCAAGTATACTGAAGTGCCATACTCCGACATGGATGAGACAGGGCTTTTGTCCAAGGCTCCAGAATGAGAACCCAACAGGAAAAAAGAAACCAAGTTCTAAGCGCCTTGCATTGGGTTGCAGAACAGAGAAACAAAGATGTGCA